CTAGTGAGAGATGTCAGCCTGTCCCTCTGGGGTGAGACCAGAAGGGACAGGGCCACGCGATCCAGATCTCAGCCTCAGCTTCCATGCTGTTGTGAAGACAATGAAATCTTTTTTTTTTTTTTTGAGATTTATTTCATTCATTTGAAAGATAGAGTTACAGTGAGAGGTAGAGACAGAGAGAGAGGTCTTCCATCCGATGGTTCACTCCCCAATTGGCCGCAACAGCCAGAGCTGTGCCGATCTGAAGCCAGGAGCCAGGAGCTTCTTCCAGGTCCCCCACCCCCCACCCCGTGGGTGCAGGGGCCCAAGGACCTGGGCCATCTTCTACTGCTTTCCCAGACCATAGCAGAGAGCTGGATCGGAAGTGGAGCAGCTAGAACTCAAACCAGCGCCCATATGGGATGTCGGCACTTCAGGCCAGGGTATTAACCGGCTGCGCCACAGCACCGGCACCAACAATAAAATCTTAAAGTTACTTTTCACTTAAAAACAAATCTGCCCTCTGTCCCCTCCTCTGTGTGCCCCTAACAAAGTTTTCCAGGATGGCCTTAGCAAAGCACCATGGACAGGGGCTCAGCCACAGCAGTGCCCCACCCTCAGGAGGCAGAAAGCCCAATAGCGTCTCCCAGGCCTGCAGGTGGCTGTCTTCGTGGGGTCTTCCCACTATGTCCAGTCTCCTCCTTTTTCTATTTTTTTAAAGATTTATTTATTTATTTTACAGAGAGAGAGGGAGAGATACACAGAGAGAGCTTTTTCATCTGCTGGTTTACTCACCAGATGGCCACAGGGCCAGGGCTGAGCCAAGGTGAAGCCCAACTTCTCCTAGGTCTCCCAAGTGGGTTCAGGGGCCCAAGGACTTGGGCTATCCTCCACTGCTTTCCCAGGTGCATCAGCAGGGAGCTGGATGGGAAGTGGAGCAGCCCGGACACAAACATGCATCCATATGGGATGCTGGCACTGCAGCAGAGGCTTAGCTTACTACTGCACGGTGTTGGCCCCCAGGGTCTCCTCTTACAAGGACACGCCCTATTCACCCATGATGGTAACTCCAGGCTAATATGACATTTTTTAGTGACCCCACCCCATGTCCAAATTCCATCACAGTCTGAGACCTTCCAGCGTAGGACCTCAACACACAAATTGGTAGAAGAACACAGTTCAGGCCATGGCAAGGCCCATTACTGCCTCATACTGTGGCTACCATGAACCCCTGCTTCTGCCAAGTGTGCTTCCCAAAGTTCCCAGCAAGGACCGTGTCTTACTTCTAGCATCAGAAAAAAGTAGTACTGGTGTCGGTCCATGTCCTGGCCGCCCCACTTCCCACCCAGCTCCCTGCTGGTGGCCCGGGAAAGCAGTAGAAGATGGCCCAAGTCCTTGGGCCCCTGCACCCAGGTGGGAGACTCAGAAGAAGCTCCTGACTCCTGGCTTCAACCTGAAGCATTTTGGCCATTTGAAGAGTGGGCCAGTGGATGGAAGATCCTCTCTCTCTCAATAAATAAATCTTTTTAAAAAGAAAAGGAAAAAGTAATTAATGAGTTATTCTGGAGGAATCTGGGCTGTCCTTTTCCCGGCTCAGGGAAGCCACCTTGGATGCCATATTCTCCGACATGCCTCATCTCTGAGGTCACGTGTCTCCATTTTTCCAGCCCATGGCCTCCAAGTCTGGATTTGCGATCTTGGATTTCAGGTTCCACAGGGAACAGGCAACGGGCAGAGTCACGATGCGTGCATTGTCAGGGAGCGGTGAGGTCCACTGTGAAACCAAACTCACACACTCACTCTTGCCACAATGAGGGAGATAGGTAGGTGCCTGTGTGGTCCCAACAGGAAATAGCACAACCAAATTAAGACACTTGGAAAAGGGTTAATTTGCAAAGGGACCCATCCCCGCGGAGGAGCAGGGTACTGGGGAGCTACAAGAGAGTGCAGGAGCCTTGAGTCCTGTGACAATGTTGCTCCATACAGAAGGCAGGATTCAGGCTCAGTTGATACAACAAAATCTGCAGTGGATAAATCAACCCACACAGCATGCAAAAGTCCCCACCGCATCAGAAAACCCAGTGTGGTAAACAAAACAGAAGGGTTTTCCCTTTCATCGGAGAGTCTGGCAGTTTGGTCCCCGGCAGGTCCAGCACCCTGCAGAGTCAGGGACCCAGGCACCTTCTCTCTGCTCCTGCTCTGTGATAGGTGCTGCCGCAGTGCCCACCTGGTGACCCATAATGACTCCTGCAGCCTTGGCTGTCACGCTGGGGCTCCAGCTGGCCAGAGAACAAGAACGGAATGAGAAGTGCATGTCCCCTCCCGGAAGGATGCTTCTGTTTCCATTATCCTGGCTGCAGTTGGGTTACACTGGAGGCTGGGAAATGGAGTCCTCTCCAGTGGCCATGTGCTCAACCAAAAGTTCTAGGTGTATACAGGAAGTAGATGAGATTTGGAGAACATCAGGAGTCGCATGTCTTAGAGTTAGTCACATATATTCTACTCTCAGCACCTTGGAGGACTGACTCTTGAGAGAACCAAAAGAAATTATAACAGTTCTGAGAGTCATTGCTTCTAACATACCTTTTTTTAAAGATTTTTATTTATTTATTTGAAAGTCAGAGTTACACAGAGAGAGGAGAAGCAGAGAGAGAGAGAGAGGTCTTCCATTCGATGGTTCACTCCCCAATTGGCTGCAACAGCTGGAGCTGCGCCCATCTGAAGCCAGGAGCCAGGAGCCTCCTCCAGGTCTCCCACATGGGTACAGGGGCCCAAGCACTTAGGCCATCTTCTACTGCTTTCTCAGACCATAGCAGAGAGCTGGATCGGAAGTGGAGCAGCCAGATCTCGAACCGGCGCCCATATGGGATGCCCGTGCTCCAGGCCAGGGTGTTAACCCGCTGCACCATAGCGCCAGCCCCTCTAAGATAACTTTTGACAGCTGCCTGGAATAGCTCATGGCATGGGAAGAATTTGATAGATATCTGAGAATTATTTGCTTAAAGTATAAATATTTCTTACCTTTAACTGTTATCTAAATATTGCTTAAATGTGGTCAGCGTGGTGCGCCGGCCGTGGCAGCCATTGGAGGGTGAACCAACGGCAAAGGAAGACCTTTCTCTCTGTCTCTCTCTCACTGTCCACTCTGCCTGTCAAAAAATAAAAATAAAAAATGTAAATATTCCTTGGCTACATCTGCTATACAATGCATTGACACACTTGGGCTGCTCCACCCAGCTTCTTGGGGAGGTCACCAAGACATTTCTGGAAGGATCGGAAATAGTACCAGCTGCTGAAATCCACTGTAGCCTTGGCATGTTGGAGGGGGGAGTGACATATTAGTATTCTATCCTGTCAAGCCGTAGCAATCTGTCCCATCACCTATTCAACATCCAAATTAGAGATCATATTTTCCCTGGACTCAAGAAAATAGAAGCTGAGCTTTCAAGCTAGTGTCATCCAGGCAGTCTTTGCTACATTGTAACATATATTGGGACAGCAACCCTTAAGTGACAATTTGGCAACATCTAGCAAAATTACAAATGCACAGACTTTGTGATGGGGCAACACCAACTCTGGGGGGTACCTTTGTGTTACACATGTGCTGGTGACAAGTTACAAGTGACAAGTTTCACCACAGCCGTGTTTGTATTAGCTGCAATTAGCTCCAGGAATTAGCAGACCTGGATTGTTCTCCCAGTACCTGGCTCTGGCCATGGCCCAGCCCTGACTGTGGAGATGCAGAGCAGTGAAGATGGAGAGCAGTGAGTACTGTATGTCACCACTGGCCAAAGAAAGCAAACAGTATATGTATTTGCAGGGGCTGGTATTTGAATAGAACTTTGCAAGGACAGATAAGTAATGGTAACCCAGCCACAGAACTGGGTGACGGGGAGGGGATAAGAGTGCAAAACAAAATTTTCATTGCATGCTTTTGAGTTTTAACCATGTGAATATATATTACATATTCAAAAATAAACAAAATAACAGCAACCAATTAGCATCATATATTGGTATATATATATATATATATATTGACAAGCAGAGTGGACAGTGAGAGAGAGAGACAGAGAGAAAGGTCTTCCTTTTCATTGGTTCACCCCCCAATGGCCGCTGCGGCCGGCACGCTGTGCTGATCCGAAGCCAGGAGCCAGGTGCTTCCCCTGGTCTCCCATGCGGGTGCAGAGCCCAAGCACTTGGGCCATCCTCCACTGCACTCCCAGGCCACAGCAGAGAACTGGACAGGAAGAGGAGCGACCAGGACAGAATCTGGCACCCCGACCGCGACTAGAACCCGGTGTGCCAGCATCACAGGCAGAGAATTAGCCTATTGAGCTGCGGTGCTGGCCGGTACATATATTTTTATAAATATATATGTGTGTGCATATATATACATATATATATATATATTCTCAATTTGAGAGGCAGAGAGAGACCACTCCCACCTGCTGGTTCACTCCCTAAATGCCTGCCACAGCCAGGGCTGGGCCATGGCCAGAGCCAGGTACTGGGAGAACAATCCAGGTCTGCTAGTTCCTGGAGCCATCACAGCTGCCTCCCAGGGTCTGCATTAGCAAGATGCTGGGATTCAGGGCCAGAACACTCTGATGTGGGGTGGGGTTATCTTAACCACTAGGCTGAACACCCACTCCTCACATACACTCTTCTTCCAAGTATGTTTCTCTAGATATATTCGGCTGATTGTCCTACTAACAAGAGAAAAAAATGATCACTGTTTTTTGTAAGTATGGGAGGGAGAAATGGACGCACCGGCTAGTTTCAGCAGCAGCTACCAGTACTGTCCCAGGCACACCTGCCTTGTGGAATTTTATTCAGTGCAGAAGGCACCTTGATCTCCCCTCCCCTGGGGCTCTGAGTATCCTAGCTTCTCTGTGAGCAAGGAAAGCAGGGGTGGGGGGAAGCACCATCAGGAGCCAAGGGACATCCCCAAGGTAAGGGGGGTCCTTGTCCCATTTTGGTGATGGGGCACCTCTCACCGCTGTGCTGCAGGGATTCTGGGGTTGGTGGTTACAGGAGCCAGAGAGAGAATCTTCTGTGACAGGCCTGTGCAGCATGTGCCAGCACTGGTGTGAAAGAGACCGATGAGTAAATATTTGTACAGCCAGCATTCTTTCTGGACTAAACAAGAAACTGTAACAGAAGTTGCCTCTGGGGACCTGGTGGAGGAAGTTTGCTTGTACCAGATAGACTTAGTACTGCTTGAGTTTTATTTATTTATTTGTTTAAGATTCATTTATTTGAAAAGCAGAGTTACAGAGACAAAGAGACAGACAGAGAAAGAGAGAGATCTCCCATCTGCTGGTTCATTTCCCAAATGGCCACAACAGCCAGGGCTGGGCCAGAAGCCAGGAGCTTTATCCAGGTTTCCCACGTGGGCAGCAGAGGCCCAAGGACTTGGACTGCCTTCTGGTGCTTTCCAAGGAGCATTAGCAGGGATCTGGATTGGAAACAGAGCAGTGATCACTCCCTGGAGTGGAACCTGCGCTCCTATGGGATGCCAGGGCCACAGGCAGTAGCTGCACCTGCTATGCCACAAGGCCTGCCTCTTGAGTTTCACTTTAAGCAGGTGCTACCCACTACCCATTGAAAGAAGAAATTCCAGTTCAGGAATTCTCTGCCTCAGTCTGTCTGTCCCTCCCTCCCTCCCTCCCTCCCCTGCTCCTTCCCTCTCTTCCGTACAAGCCATACCTACCCTGTAAACAGCATGGCTTCCTTGCTCAGAGAAGTCACCCTAGGAGCAGAGGAACTTTTGAGCTTACTGGAAGAGGAGTGGTTAGGAATTCTCTCAGTCTCAGAGCTGGAGTTCTGCGCCTGCACACAGTCCAGCCAAGGAATGTTCCGTTTGCACGTTGCACATTTCTTTCTCCTGTAGTTCAAGATCAGTGGGCTCAGCATTCCCAGAACCTCCGACTCTCCTCTGGGCCAAGGGAGACTTGAAGGAAAGGACTCCCTCCTAAGGGGAGCACTAGCCCTGAGCACAGAGCCCACAGGTGGCCAGGAGGAGGGGTACCTGCAGCCCATGGTCCTCACCAACCAGGCTTGCCGTGGAAACAGGTGAGCAGGGATTTCAGCTGGGACAGGTTTCCCATGGCTGCACACGCCCAGGGCAAAGGAGAGCAGGATCCAAAGGCGATTGCTTGGTGCTGCCCTAGAGTGTTAAAAGGACCAGGAGGACCTTGTGTTGGTATGGAAGACACGTTCAAGCCTTACTGGAAACTGGAAAAGGTTACAGAGCGTGCATGCACACAGCCTGGAAAAGATGTTCAGCAAGAACCTGGCAGTGGCTGGTGGCAAGGGTGATGTCCATGCAACAGGGACAGTTGCTTTCCATAGTATTTAATGCTTTGTTATTCACATGGGCATGCATTTGCTTCAAAAAGCACTTCTTGCATTCCATTTACTGGTGGTCACAGAGGTGGGGGACACAGACTGTGCAAGAGGTGGGGGGAGCGCTATCCCCCAAATCTCCAGGAAATAGACTGTGAGACCCCAAAGGGAGAGAAGATCCCAAGGATCTCAAAGAGAGGAGCAAGCAGACTCTGCTTTGAGCCCTTCTCATGCCCGGGCAGGTGCAGGTGCAGGGGCGGGGCGGCGCGCAGTGGTTAGACAGAGATTTGGATTAGACCGGGTCTGAGTGGTCTGTATTTCCCACCTGGGACTACAGAGGTGTGCAGGGAGGCGGCGGGAGGGCTCGGGTAGTTCTCCTGTGGTGCCTGGTGGTGTGTCATTTTAATGAAGAGAGAAATTCAAAGATAAGATGCAGGTATAGGTATTGGAGGGAAGTGTGTGTTGGAGAGGGAGGGGGAAGTGGAGAAACAGGTGACATGCCCAGTCTCCTGCCTTTCACTTTCCCCATCTCCCTTCACCGCCCAGGCGCGCAAGGCAGAACTCCCGGGCTCTGCGGCGGCGCTGTGGGCTGGAACCCACCTGCCAGGAGTCGCACGCCCACGCGGTGTCCAGTGTGTTCCGCGGGCCTTCGGCCATGCACCCGCGCGGCTGGGTTCCCCCCAGAGCGCGGGCTCCCGCTCGGAGATGAGACTGGGGAGCTCTCAGAGCCGCAGCGGATTCCCGACTTGCGATGGGATCCGGCCAAGCCGAGCGAGGGCTCCGGGCACCCGAGAGCGCCTTACCCGGGTCCCCGACTCGCCCCGCGCATCTTCCCCTTCCTGTGGCGGCCCAGAGGTAGCAGCCGGAGCACGGCGACGAGCCACACACACACACACACACACACACACACACACCGCCGCCGCCGCCACTATCGACAGAGCCTGACCGGGGCTGGAGTGGTCGGTTCCCGGGCTGGTTCCTGAAAGGCGCGTGCCGGAGAGAGCCAAGGAAGAGCGCACGCCGCGGTGCGGGGGACACCTGTTCGAGGATGGGGTCAGAGCCGCACCAGTCAGGCTCGCCAGGTCCAGAGAGGGAGTGGAGTAGAGAGGGTGGCGTGGCTGCCAGGAGCCATATCAGGCCTTCCCCAAACGCCTCAGAGGGCGACGGAGGCACGCGCTGCTGGAGACTCGCGGTGCTACTTCTTAGAGCAAGTTCCGAGCAGCGCCGCAGCAGTGCGCCCGCCTCTGCCCGCGGAGGCGAGCGGTTCCCCTCCTTCCGCCCTGCAGCTCCTTCCTGGTGCATCCCGCAGTGGGACGCTGGGCCCCAAGCGCCCACTCTCCTCCTGCCCCCCCCCCCGCAGACCCAGGGTGCGTGGCTGTCACCTACTGGGAACCTGGAGAGGGTCTCTCCCGCGCTCAGCGGCCGCTGCTTTCTCCAACGAGGCTCTTCGCAGCCCCTGAACCGCTCGAGGTCTCCGGGTTCACCTTACAACCAAAGGGAGCGCACGCCATAGCAGGTTCCTCACCTGACCAGGGACGCCCCCATCGGTGCTCGCCGACAACCCCCCTCCATCTGGGTTAATGAGGACTGCGGCAAGGGGGGTGCACCTCAGGGAAGGCAGGTGCAGGCTCCCTCCGAGGATCAGTGGGGTGGGGGTGGGGGAGCAGAGGCTCTGGAAGCCCTGGCGCTTGGCATCCTGTGAGCTGGAGGCTGAACCCCAGCCTGCAGGGACCTCCGGTCTTGCTCTTCTTCATCCCTAAAACGGGAACCAGTGCCTCTCTCTCCGCATCTCAGGGCGGGCTGCCAGACTGGCCCGAGAGAGCAGACTGTAAATGGAACTCAGGAAAAGTTCTTCTCCCGAGCCTTCTCAGTCCAATCGCCAGGTCATTCCACTGGGAGCTTGGGGACAAGTTAATTTCAAAGGCGCTGATGAAAACCTGCCTGTGGGTGCCCCGCCTGTTTGCAGAGGCTGGAGGGTCCCACGGGAGGGGCTGACCATGAATCTGGGTTTTGCCAGGTTGCTTTTCATTTGTTGTTTTCTTTTCACTTCCTGGTCCAGCCCCCCTCTCTCCCCAGGCCCTGGGCATTCCTCTGGACCTCTCCAGAGCCCCTAAACCTAAACCAGGCCCCAGCAGGGGGTCCCCGGGCCTGCAGTGCCTCACAGGCCTTCAAAAAGCTGAAGCATCAGTAGAGCAGAGACATTGAGAGGAGAGGGACGCATTGGGTTCTCAGATCTCCCAGCGGACTCACCCTTGGGAGCCAGGGGTAGCTTCCAGAAATTCGAATGAGAACCAGAGACTGAGAGAGAAAGACTCAAGATCTCCAAGGCTCTGATATCCCCTGGATTCACCCTGTGCTCCCAGCCTTAAGCCAACATCCACACCTCTCTAAGCCACAACTTCCCCATCTGTAAAATGGGCCAGGGAGAGAAGAAATAAAACCAAATCTGTCAGGACTCTCTGAGTGCCTGGCACAGCTTCCCCCACAGCTAAGAGGTCACAGTTGTCATCAAAAGGAAGCCACCAGCCCTATCATTTTATCAGCTCCGCACCACGCCAGCAATCCTGGTGACAGACCTCACGTGCAAGGTGACCAGCAAAGAAATACAAAGTTTCACACCAGCCCCAGTACACCTGCACGTGCGAGCTCTCAGAAGTATTTGCCCAGCGCCTGCTGCCTGTCAGGGCCCCGCGGGACGCGGGCATGACCCTGGACAGCTCCGGGAGCTGAGTTTTGCGAGGACCGCCAACCATTAGTTTGCAGAGTTCTGACTTCTGCCGGGGGTCTCACCGCGCACGGTCGGGCGCCGAACGCCGCCGTTCCACGCATCTCTCCTGGCTTCCGGACCAGAAACACCGGCGGAAATTCGCTTCTTTTTGTCCTCTCTTTTCTTTCCGGTGCCGGGAGCCTGGCCTCCCACCGCCACCTCTGGCCAGCTCGGCTCAAGGACGCAGCTCTCCCTGGCAGCCAGGCGGAGACGTCGCTTGAATGTGAGCAGGAACTCGGGGAAGCGAGAGAACCGAAAAGAAAGGCCCGGGAGGGACCGGGAAGCGGTGGGAGGTCTGCGCCCTGCGGCCCCGCGCGGCCCGCCCCGGCCGGTTTGGCACAGGCTCCGCCCGGGGCCTCCAGGCGGCCGAGCAAAGGCCGGCCCCAACACGCACCGGGCCTTTTGTGCGAGGGAAACACAAAGAAGGGAGGGGGGAACACGTCTTCCGTTTGGGCGGAAGGGGCCAACGGCTCCGGAGCGCCAGGGCCAGACTGGAACTCCCGGAACGGAGGCCGATTCGCCTCGGCAAGGGAGCATTCAATCCCTGGGCAGGGCTGCGGCCCACCTGCGCACGCCGGCGGCGAGGGAGGTTCGCCCAGGATGGGCCCGCGGGGCACTGGGCACTGGCTCCCCGACCAGGGCCGGGATGCCTCCTGGGCGCACGTGGCCAAGCACAGGAGGCCGAGTTTTACTGTTTGGTTATTCGTGCGGGGCGCAGTGGGCACAGGAAGACAGTGAGTGGTGTTTTGAAGGAGCCTGGGGGACCCCATGGGCCCCGTGGCCTAAACAGCTCCGGCGAAGGGAGGATATGGGTGCTGCAGACCGGGCCTGCAGCTCTGAGTGCCGACCGAAGCGCCGGGCGTGGCGAATAAGGACCGCGAGACGCCGCCGCACAGACCCCGCTGCCTCGGCTCGGCTCGGAAGAGCGGGGCCGGAGCCTGGAGCGTCCTCCTGTGCGCCTACGCACGGACCTGGAGAGCCAGTCAGCTCTCCTGCCTGGTCCCCATCTCTTCCAGGCGCTAGTCTAGCGCCGCGCCCGGGGAGGGCGCCGCCAATATTAAGCCCTTGTCTCCTCCAAGTCCTGCCATTGGCCCCGAGCGTGTTTGAAACCTTGGCCCGCGCACTCTCGCGGAGGGCCGGACGCACGAGACACCAGTTGGAAGCAACAAAAGGCGGCAGCCAGGCTCCGGACCGGTGCGGGCGGCCGCCACCGAGGCGCGCGCCTGCTGCGCCCGCTGGCGTGGATTGGACAGACGCACCGGTAGGTGCCCCTCTCCGCGCCCCGGCTCGCGCGCCTCCGCGCCAGGCCCCACTTGCGGGTTTTGGGGGCTGCCCGCGCTCTTCCCGACGGTCCCGCCTGCCTCTCCCTGGGTTCCTCCTGGTGACAGATTCCGCTAATTGAGCGGTTACGGGTCGTCCTTGTAACGGTTGGAAGACACATCGCCACGCGTCAGTTCTTCACGTCTTAAATACATATTTAACGGATGGCTGCCGAGCCAGCTGGGGAACACGCGGGCAGAGATACATACTGCTCCGGAAGGCACGGGCATGGGGCCGAGGCGGGAGCCCGCTGGGCGTCCGAGGGGAGACCCCAAAGAGAGGCTGATCTCGGAAATAAGGGCTTTTTGTTCCTTTTCGCAGTGGCTTATTTTTGTCACTTTGCTACACGAAGGCCCATTCTTTGCTACGTGTATTTACGTTTGCTGGTTTTGGAAAAACACGCGTGCACATGAACAATTCCCAGAGGAAGCAGGTGACCAGAGGAGCGCGCAGCACACCTCGGGTGACAGAACCCGACCTGTGCGCGCGCCCGCAGCCTCAAGAGCGAGCTCGCACCCCAGATCAGAAGCAGCAAACTTCGGTGTCCCCAGTGGGAAGCCCTCCGCTCCGCTCCGGTTGGTTGGGGGTTAGGGGAGACCGGGGTCCGCCTCTCCTGGTCCAAGCGGGTTTCACTGAGCCGAATTAGTCCGAATTGGTCCCCCCTCCCCCGCCCAATTCTTTGCTCTCCAGGTTCCCTCGTGGGTCCCTCCACGTCCGCGTTTGTAGTCCGGGCAGGGCTGAGCTATGAACGCTTGGCAAACTCCAACCCCCGCCTCTCAGTAGTCTTGCTGCAGATTCCGATTCTAGATTATCCCATCTGTAAAATGGGCGAATGCGTTCTGCGCTTCTCCGGAGCGGATTTAATTCCTCATGGTCAAAGGTTTTCAGCCTTCCTCCGGTAAAACGTGTCCGAACGGGCCCGCAGGCTGGGCTGGGCCGTCCCGCTCCGCGGCCCGCAATGCGGAGACGCCTTTGCTGGGTCTTTGCGCGTGGACCCCTTCCCTACGGCGCAGAGGCCCTCACAAAGGCGAGGGTACCGTCCTCAGGCCTCCTGATAAGAAATGGGGGAGTGGGGTGAGGCACACGGCTCTGCGGGGGCGTGGAACTCCCTCTTCCCCGAGCTTTCACCACCCCCCAACTCTGAGATTCCTTTCAAAGCTACGTTCTGGACTTGGTTCCTTCCTTGCCTTCTCTCTGCCCTTAGGGCCCTGTCCCCAGCTGGTGGCGCCGCCGCCAGTGACACTGACCAAGAAGGTGCAGCTTTGGGGCCCACGTGTTGATGAAACCCACGGAGGGGGGGGCACGGCGGCAGGAAAGCAGAGAGGAGGGAGAGGGAGAGGGAGAGGGGGAGAGAGGGAGAGAGAGCGCGAGAGAGAGAGAGAGAGGGAGGGAGAGAGAGAGACACTAGGCGAAAGTCCTGGGTCGCGGTCGCGTGGGAAGTCGCGGGGGACTGCGGGCACAGTCCCACGCCCCAGCCTCACTCCGCGGCGCGTGGGCCACGCTCCTCCTCGCCCCGGTCCCCGGCTCCCCGCGAGCCTGCCCGCCTCTTCCCGCTGGCTCGGGCTGTCCCTCCGCGGGTCCCTCCTCCAGTCCCTGCTAGCGAACTTCGCGAGCGCGGGTGCCCATTGGCTGCGCGCAGGCGGGAGGCGTGTGCCGGGCCGGGCGGGTTTCATTGAGCGGAATTAGCCGGGATGACATCAGCTTCCCAGCCCCCGGGCGGGCCCAGCTCATTGGCGCGGCTACCCCTCCAGGACCGGCACATTGTTCCCCGCCCCCCTCCCGGGCCGCCGCCGCCACCCGCCTATAAAAACCGGCCGAGCCCCGAAAGGTGCGGATGCTTCTCACCGAGCGACGCGGCATCAGCGCCCGGGACCCGGCTTTCCACGGCGGCGTTTCGGGGTCGGCTCCTCCAGGAACCCCAGCTACGGTAAGTGTCCCCGCCCTCCAGCTGAGCTCCCAGGGACCGACGCCCCCCAACTCGGCTGCGACCCAAGATGCTGCCCATAAAGGGGGCCCGGGTCCCGCCCTCGCCAGCCAGTTTGCGGGAGCGGTTGCGGGGCTCCGACCCCCTGCACTTTCACCGTAGCATCTCCTCGCTAAGTCCCGGGTGGCGGCGAGCGAGGTGCCCGCGGACCCCACACCAACATGTGAGGCGTGCGGCTGCCGGGTGCGTGTGCGCGCGGGGGTTTGTTGCGGGGTGTCAAAAGACAGATCGTAGCTGCATCTTAAGAACCAAATAAATAGTTCTCTCTACGCAGAACTCCAACCTCCCCAAAGAAATCCCTCACTTGCCCCCTCGTTCTTTCCAGCCCCGGAACCCCAGCCTCCCCGTTCCTAACCCAAGGTACAGATCCTCCAGGATACCACCCCCACGGAGGGTCTCATAATATTCCCCGAAACAACCTGTGGATGCGGGGAGGACAGAGGTCACTTACCCGCACCCGGGCCTGGACCCTGAGCAGACAGAAGCAGCTGTCCCATCCCGCTGAGTCCGTCTTTCTTTCTCTCTCTCCTCCCCCCCCCCCCCAACCCTTGGAAGCTCTGAGAGCCGAGGGAGAGAGGACCCTGCGAAGGCAGCGACTGTGCCCCGGGGCCATGGACTCGGACGCCAGCCTGGTGTCCAGCCGCCCGTCGTCGCCGGAACCCGATGACCTTTTCCTGCCGGCCCGGAGCAAGGGCAGCAGCGGCGGCGGCTTCACGGGGGGCACTGTGTCCTCGTCCACGCCGAGCGACTGCCCGCCGGAGCTGAGCGCCGAGCTGCGCGGAGCCATGGGCGCGGCGGGTGCGCACCCCGGGGACAAGCTGGGCGGCGGCGGCGGCTTCAAGTCCTCCTCGTCCAGCACCTCGTCATCCACGTCGGCGGCGGCCGCGTCGTCCACCAAGAAAGACAAGAAACAGATGACCGAGCCGGAGCTGCAGCAGCTGCGGCTGAAAATCAACAGCCGCGAGCGCAAGCGCATGCACGACCTCAACATCGCCATGGACGGGCTGCGCGAGGTCATGCCGTACGCGCACGGCCCGTCGGTGCGCAAGCTCTCCAAAATCGCCACGCTGCTGCTGGCGCGTAACTACATCCTCATGCTCACCAACTCGCTGGAGGAGATGAAGCGCCTGGTGAGCGAAATCTACGGCGGCCACCACGCCGGCTTCCACCCGTCGGCCTGCGGTGGCCTGGCGCACTCGGCGCCGCTGCCCGCCGCCACCGCACACCCGGCGGCCGCAGCGCACGCGGCGCACCACCCGGCGGTCCACCACCCCATCCTGCCACCTGCCGCGGCCGCCGCTGCCGCCGCCGCCGCGGCCGCCGCCGTATCCAGCGCGTCTCTGCCTGGCTCCGGGCTGTCGTCGGTCGGCTCTATCCGGCCCCCGCACGGCCTGCTCAAGTCTCCGTCGGCCGCCGCCGCCGCCGCCGCCCCGCTGGGGGGTGGTGGCGGCGGCGGCGGGGGCAGCGGGGGCTTCCAGCACTGGGGCGGCATGCCGTGCCCCTGCAGCATGTGCCAGGGGCCGCCCCGCACCACCACGTGTCGGCCATGAGCGCGGGCATCCTCCGCGCCTCGCCTCGGACGCCAAGTGAGCCCGCGATGCCGGCGCGTTCCGCCCAGCTTGTGGGGAGGGAGGGAGGGACCCGGAGACCGCGGGGAAACGGAGCCTGCCCGGCGCTCTGGGCGCTGAACCTCGGGCTGCGGGTGGGGGGTGGGGTGGGGGAGACTCCAGCACGTGGCAGCCGCACCACCGGGGCGGGCACAGACCCCTGAACAGGGCTCGCGGAGCCCTCGGTGGCTTTAACCCGCGCGGGTTGTGTAGACTGCATCGTGTAAGAAGGCGCTGCTACGTGCGTCCCAGCCCCAGGAACAAATTCTAAAACCCGGGTTTCCGGAGAGCACGGCTGGACTCCCCGACTCGACCAGGGCGGCGCTTGGTGGGAGGGCGGGGGCTGGGGACACGTTGGGGCCTCCCTCGCCTGCTCTCTCTGGGCCGATGGGAGACTCCCTGGACCCTTCAGGGCCGACGAGTTGGTTCGAAGCTCGCGTTCCGTAGCCGAGGCACTTGGGGTCGTGTCCAGTCCGAGTTTCTGGCTGCACCCACGGGGTCCAAGACCTGCGACCGTTCGTTCTTCTCTGTGTCTCCTGTTGATTTGGGAGTTTGTGCTTTTCTAATAAATCTGTGGATTTTTTTTATTATTATTTCAAAAGTGTGAGCAAGCGTTATAGACGCTCAGAATAGAACCACTTGTGGATTGGAGCAACGTCCTCCCCCCAAGTATCGATCGTGGAAGGGGGAGGGCGTTTGGTTTTCCAGTTGTTTAAAAACACAAACCAGCCCTCTCCCCACCCTTCTCGTCTCTGCGCACAAAGTTATTGGAGTTTTTTGGTTGTTATTGTTGGTTCTCGGTTAGGGGCGGGTCGTGTTGATACTCGCTGGATCGCCCCAACTGAAAGGCACCTGCTGTGACTATAGCTCGGGGGTCTTTACTGGGGGTTTTGTTGGCTTTTTGCGTGTTTCTTTGGGGGATGTGTAAATAGAATGTCCTCCAGGGGGCAGGTGCGCGGGGCGGGCCCTCACGGCTCGCTCCACGCGGGTTTCTCCACGTGCGCCGCCGCCTGCTCGCCGTGGGGTCTTCGCAGCGCCCGCCGCCTCACAGCCCTCCTCCAACCACGCTGCCCTTCGCCGAGAGTATATCATCTGTTTTATTTTTGTAAAAAAAAAAAAAGTGCTAAATAATATTTATTACTTGTTTGGTTGCAAAAACGAAATAAATGATGGAGTGTTGAGATTTTAAATAACATGTGAGGCCGAGCCTGTATCATCCGTGGGAGAGAAAGCTCAGGGAGCCCGCAGCCCCTGAGAGCGACTGGATTTGATTGTGCCTCAGGTTTCTCCCGCGGGTGTCAGTGCCTCCCCCTAAAAACACACAAGTTCTCCATAACACATGTTCGGGACAGACACATCCTTTGGGTGTTTTTTCTTCTTCTTCTTCTTCTTCTCACGACTTGCTTGTCCTTATTTTTATTTTCCAAGGACTCATGTGGAGCGCCTTGCCTTTCCGTGGAGTACTGAGTTAGTTTCAAAGTGAAGCTTTTCTTCCGAGACTTTGGGTCTTCGGCTGGAGGTCCTAGAGGTCGGGCTTCCTCCACTGCCGGGATTTTATTTTCTCTCTGCGCGGAGGCGGTGTCCAGCGCACGGCCAGCGGGATGGGCTTTCTTGAGCTTCAGCTGCGGACCACGCACTCGGGGCTCCAACCCGCACAGCCACAGCACGGGGCCCTGGCCAAGCCCGGTCCACTAACCCTCCTGCCCCTTCTCTGCGCTTGTTGAGACCCTCCCTTGGCGCCCACCCGGCCTCCAGCTGCAGAGTCGGATCCTGGGCCGCGCCTGGAACCGGTGGGGACTCCACGCGCAGCGCTGTGCCCTTTGCGCTGTTTATCCGGGGTCGCTTCTGTGGGGTCTCCACAATCCAACATTGCAACCTCAATTTAGGATGCGGCCCTGAAGACAGATTCTAGATGAAATTTGAAAACAAACAAAAAATGTGGCCTTCCAGGTCAAGGACAGGGACAGCTTCGTGCGCGCGTCGCAGACCCGAGCCCCGGTCCGGGGCTGAATGGCCGACACTGTCTTTGTTGGCGGCTGCCAGAAAGGTCCTGGACCCGGCGGGCTGGCGATTTCCCTGGTTGCAGCCCCATTTCTTGAGTCTGGCCCCTGAGCCCGGCCCACGCAAGCGCCGGTTGCCCAGGCCTGAGGGGTGGCCCCAACCCCGAGAGCTGTGTCCTCCGGCCGGTGGCTCCAGGCTGTTGGGTTCACGGAAGGAGGCAAGGGGTCAGGCGGAGGCAGAGCGGCTGGCGGATTCCCACAGCGCGTCCCGAGCACCCAAAGTGCGGAGGGCAAGGATCCAATCGTTTTTCAACCAAAATCTCACTTGAAACTTCTCAAGCAGTGACGACTGAGTCCTGCTCCAGCCACAGACAGAAACTACAGAGGAACGCGAGGAGGTGAACTCCCAAGGCTGGCGCTGGCGCGGGCGCGGAGAGCCGGGCCAGGTGGGAGAGCCGACCTAGTTTTGGGGGCGGCTTCATCCTGATCCGCGGGGCACGGTGCAGGTCGGCGCCTGGGCTTGCGCTGTGTAAGTCAACCCCGGTCCCCAGGCCCTCAGCAGCATCCAGCCGCCAAGCAGCCTGGACCTCGGCCTCCGCGGGAGGAGGGGCTGTGTCCAGCCAGGCGCTGGGCTCTTCCCCGGCCGTCCGCCTGAACCCCGTGGCCGCCACCTGTAAGATCTACGCGTCCGCAGACGCCAAGGAGACTGACATCGGTTCCTACGGATGCGCAGGGCGCCCGGCTACTGGAGCTGGTGCCCCTCGCGGAGGGTGGCCCAGGACCGGCGGTGAGAGGCGGGAGAGCACGGGTCGCGGCCCCTTTGGCTTCGGTGGTGGTCATTCAATGGAGGGAGGGCTCCCCATTGAGAGAAAGAACGAGGAAGGGCCAGAGGGAAGCGAGACGCGCTCAGCGCAGTCTGCCAGGCACCCTGGGAGGTTAGCCGGGGAGTCGCTCCAGCGCTTCAGCTCAGCGCAGCCTCCTCCGCCTACCCCAAGCATGCAAATCTCCCAGCTGCAGGTCTCCCAAGGCCTCCAGCCCTCTTGAAGAACCTGCGCTTGGCTAACCAGAAGGGCAGGGGCAGAGCCCAGTGGGTCTAACCCTAGTGTCCTTCACTGCCCTCTGCTCCCTAAAGCACTGTTCCCGGGTTCCTCATTCTCTCACACGGGCAGGGCTCGCAGGAAAAAGAGGATTTCCTGCACCGAGTGTTGGAAGACTTGCCAGAGCTGCAGGTGCCTCTCTGTGGAGGAGTTGGGGTCCCGCATCCCAGGGGCAGCCAGGGAGTTAGGGTGAGGCACCACTTCAAGTGCACCTGTGTTGGGGGGGGGGGGTCACACTCTGACCTGGCTATAGGAAGACTTGATACCAGGGACACCCATGGCAGGATCTGCCCTTCTCATTCCCAGAAAGAAACCAGTGCAGACCAGGGTGCTGTGTTTTAAAGCCTGCCTGGTGTTCTCATGGATTAAACTACCCCAGTGCTGGAGACGTGCCTGCCTCCCGCATGGCTGAATCCGACCCGCGTCCTGACTCCATGGATGGCGTGAACCCTTTGGTGCTTCCTGGGAAGTTCATCCAAGGCACGTCATTCCCGCCATCCCTGCCCCTCTCTCACTCTAAGTCCCCTTTGCATAGGAAATTTTGCTCCAAGTCTCCCTCCCCACTCCACCTCCCAGTGCCTTAGGGCACCAGCCTAGGTCATGGGTGTCTTCAAGACACCCTGCAGGTGCCCAGCGCCTCATTCAGGGTCTCTGGGGACCTGTAAGGGGTGCCAGGATCCAGACTGGCTTTTCCCGGAGTAAGGGGGTGCTGTACTCAGTCCCTCCCTGGTTGGCTGCGAGACTTGGAACCTCCTGGGTGAACAGGGCCACTCCTTGGCTTGGAGGCTGCATCCCTCACTCCCTCTCAGAGTGGGGGGAGGGCATTCTAGGTGGGACAGAGGTAGGGGTCATGCAACTCTCTCTCTCAAACACACACACACACACACACACACACACACACACACACACCATCCCCATCTCTTTCCCACGGACGGAGTTACTGCTCCACGAAGCCAGTTCTCTGGCAGCGGGCGATTCATGGGAGCGGGGATGCAGTGAGGAACAGATGTGGCAGAGCTGGGAGGAGGGAGGCAGGGCTCCCCTGGGGAGTTCTGGATATTAATAATAGATGGAGGAGGCTGGGAGAGGTTTTGCTGAAAGGAAGGAGCGCAGAGCTTTCCCTAGGTCTGTTCATTCAATCCTCACGCAATTCTTTGAAGAGCTGCGTGTGTTGTCCCACTTTACAGGTGAAGAAACTGAGGCACAGAGCCGGTGAATGAGTCACTCCAGGGCACAGCCGGCACACAGAGGCAGCAAGGCTGTACTCCGGGCGTCTGGCTGCAGAGCCCACGCCAGGATGTCGCCTGACCCGTATGCAGGCTCCACCCCGGCAGTCCCCAGGCCCTTGCCTCGGGAATCCCTGTATCTGACGCGCCCACCCGCTGCCCACGCCCCAGATCCCCTAGGTGATGCTCTCCATACTCCTCGTCGGCGCCTGGACCCCATCTGTCCCTGACGTCCCCATCTGGGTGGCGGGCGGTGGCGACAGGCGTTAGCAATTAGCGGGCTCGGGTGGGCGCGCGGTGCGGGCGGAGGCAGGGCGGGGGGAGCAGGTGAGCCGAGGCGCTCCCTCATTAGGGACCGTCGTTAGAGCCGGGACAGCTGCTGGCCCGGCCTCAGCCGGATCCCGGGCCGGATCCCCCGCGCCTGGGCTGTAACGGGGAACTGGGAACGCCAGCGGGGGCCAGGCGGGCTGAAGGACCGCGCCGGGAAGCGCGCACTCTCCTCTCCGGGCGGGGCCTCGGACCCCAGCGGCTGAGGGCTCGGGGCCCCGCAGACTCTCACTCTGCAACCCCAGAAAACCTGGCGGGAGCTCCGGATTTGGGGGCCACATCTTCGGCTGGGGGTCCCCGGGCTGCCCCGCGGCGGCTCTCCGGGAGCTCTCTGAACTGTGCGCCCATGGCCTTTCCGCTCCTTGCACCCTGGATCCCGCACGCTGCTCCCACCTGCCAGGTGCCCTCCCGTGGCCCGCCCCCGCCTCGCTGCGGTGCGCTGCTTTCCTTTGGCGAGAGACCGCGCGGCCCAGCGTCCGCTCTGGTATGGAGAGGGAGAAAGCAGCGTACAGAACCCTCCAGAAGAGTGCGATTCCCTGGGGGCAGCAGCCAGGACCGGGACACCGGCGGAGCCCACGCACCAGAGTCTGTGCGCGCATACACGAACCAGCTCAGGCTCCCGAGTCTGCGCACCCAGGGCGGCCGGGCTCTGGACGCCGGCTGGCCCTGCTGAGACCTTGGGGAATCAGTCATCGGAGTTAGAGGGTGCAGAGCGCTCCCCCAGCTCACCCAAGAGCTGGGGCCCTGCACTATCCCAGGCTCTGCCCTCCTCCCCCAGGCCTTCGGACTCTGAGCTCTGGGCTTTCCCAGACCAAGCCCCGGTGGCACAGGCCCTGGTGGCTGGCCAGGCTCTGCCTCAGTCCCCCCCCCCCCCCCCCCCCCGCCCCGGCCCAGCTTGCTGCAGAGGTCCTAGGAGCCACTGCCCACCTCCACCCACCCCCATCCGGGGAGGCTGAGAGTAGATGGAGAGAGCGTTCCTTGGTGCCTCTGGGTGGGCACCCATGGACTACCTAGCTTCCTGAGGCGTGAGTGCAGGCCGTAGATCTAGCTCCCGTTGTCCAAGTGGCTCAGAGTGTGGACGTGGTAGGCATCGAGCACCTGGGAGACAACGAGTCTTCCTCGGGCTCCGCCAGAGGTCTGAGCTTTTAGAGATTTGTGAGCTTTGGTTGCCTTATGGATCTTGTTAGAATTTCAGGTGTGAAAGGGGAACCCCAGCCCCTGGGCCTGGCACACAGAGCATGCCCAGAGAAGCAGAAGAGTGTGCCAGGCTCCCCGGGTGTCATCTCGCTGAATCTTCTAGAAGGCCTACAAGCTAGAGTCTCTGTTGCCCATCTGAAGGGGCCTGCATGCCTCAGGACCTCAAGGAGTGGCCTAGCAGTGTCCCTGAGCTGGGCATGCGGCCCCTCCCCAAGCCCCTCAGTGCAAGAGCAGGCCCCTGTTCTGACCTTTGCATGTTCCGGGGTGCCTGGTACAGGGCCTGTTGCACAGCTGGTCTTCAGGGAGTCTTCTTTGCATTGCCCAGTGGAGAGGGATGGCCAACATGCCACACAGAGGGAGCCAGGAGTAGAAAGGAATGAATTCAAAAATCAGTTGCCTGCAAGGCCCAGTCTCCCACATCATGGTGCCCACCCCGATCAACCTGGGCAGAGGCTTCCCTCTGAGGGCCAGGCCTGCTGGTGCCTCTCACAGGCCCGGTGCAGGGGCAGCAGGAAGGCTAGGGATGCTTCTCCCTGGGAAACTGCAGCAGGGAGTCACAGGCAGAACAGCGCTGGGGCCTCCTGGGAGCTGAGCCGGCAGCTCCGCCCTTTCTGGGTGTTTAGGCCAAGGTAGCACTAGGAAGATGCTGGAGTCCTGTGCAGCCCAGGGGAGCACTGGCAGGGAGCCAGGGGGCATCTCTGTCTCCCCACCCCCATCACAGGCAGCCCCTGGGGCTGGGTCTCCTCTCTGTCCCTCTCCTTTCCAACACCCCCTTCCAGCCACCTAACAGTCTGCTTGCCATCACCCCCTTGTTGGGCTTCACCCATCAGTTCCCATCCCATTCACACTTGGCCTTGATTTAATCCAGGCTCAACTCCTTTACCATGAAGTTACCCATTTTAAAGTGAACAGTTCAGTGGCCTTCATGGTGCGGTGCAGCCACACTTGGGTCACCTCCATGCTGGTTAGCAGCTCCCTCCCTCCCTCCCTCCTCTCCTCCCACTCCTGCCCCTGGCAACTGCAATTTGGTGTCCACCTCTATTGTGGATATTTCCCATAAATAGAACCAGGTACCACGTGCCCTTTTGTGCCTGGCTTCTTTCATTTAGCACAGTGTTATTTTTTTTTAAGATTTTATATTTGAAAGTCAGCGTTGCAGAGAACGAAGGAGAGACAGAGAGAAAGAGAGATCTTCCATCTGCTGGTTCACTGCCCAGATGGCTGCAATGGCCAGGGCTGGGCCAGGCCGAAGCCAGGAGCCAGGAGCTTCATCCTAGTCTCCCACATGAGTGGCAGGTGTCCAAGCACTTGGGCCATCCGCCACTGCTTTTTCCCAGGAAACTGGATCAGAAGTGGAGCAGCCGGGACTCAGACCGGTGCCCAGATGGGATGGCGGCGCTGCAGGCAAAGGCGTTACCCACTACGCCAGAGCACCGTCCCCAGGACTGAGTAACATTATACTGACTGTATGAACCACATTTTGTTTATCCACTCAGCTAACGGAGGGCTCATTCACTTCTGAGACACCCCTCAGGTCCTTGCACGTGACCTTCCAGGGTGAAAAGAAGCGTGGACAAGGAGTTTTGAAGTCTAGATCTCCCGGACAGAGTTCAGGCTCCTGGCTTTGGCCTGGCCCATCATTGGCCGTGGTGGCCATTTGGGGCATGAACCAGCAGGTGGAAGATCTCTCTCTCTGTCTACCTCTCATTTTCTCTGTCACTCTGCCTTTTAAATAAATAAATACATAAATAAAATAAGTCTTAAAACAGAAGCTCGGGTCTCTGAGCACGCTGGGTGGCCTCAGGCAAGTTGCTTGGCCTTCCTGGGCCTGGAGTTTTGCATTCTCCTGCCCTGCTCCGCCGTTCCTTCCCCCACAGCATGCTTAGTATTTATTAAGCTTGGTGTTGGTTATCTGTCTTCCCCACTGGAAGGTCGGCTCTGCCAGGCAGAGAGCTTTGCTCATCCTGATCGCTGATGGGTAACCCTGCTCAGCACACCCTAGGTGCTCAACAGGTAGGCACTGAATGAGTGGAGGCACAGAATCAATGTGCGCAGCTGATTTTTACCAGGAAGCCAGTTTACAGCTAGAATGGAGGAGGCACAGAGCTTCACTCGGACTCCCACCCAGGGGCCGGTTCTGTGGCATAGTGGGTAAAGCCGCCACCTGCAGTGCCCGGACCCCTTATGGGCGCCGGTTCGAGTCCTAGCTGCTCCACTTCTGATTCAGTTCCCTACTAATGTTCCTGGGAAGGCAGCAGAAGATGGCCCAAGTCCTTGGGTCTCTGCATCCATTTGGGAGACCTGGAAGAAGCTCCAGGTTCCTGGCTTCAGATCAGCTCTGTTCCAGACATTGCGGCCATCTGGGGGCGTGAACCAGCATATGGAAGACCTCTATGTCTTTCTCTCTGTAACTCTGCCTTTCAAATAAATAAACAAATCTTTAAACAGAAGGAGGAGGAGGAGGAGGAGAAATCAGAAGAATACAATCCCATGATAAGTGCACCACTGCATTCCATTTTCCTTCCAAAAATGCTTTTCAAACATCTGCTAGGTTTTAGCAGCGGGCCTTGCATTGATCCCAGGGTAGAGAGGAAGCAGACTTTCTACAGTAGCTTATCAGTTAGGATCACAGATGTACTAAAGCTACAAGTGGGATTTTCTCCCCCTGAATGACAGCTGCCCCCTGAAGCCACCTGTTAGTCTTTGGGCACAAGAAATTTCCAGATCTTGAGCCACAGGATTCACCTTGAAGTTAAACAGATCCATACTGGGACAGTTCGCTCTAAGCCTTTGGGAGGCAACCTTTGTTGAATTAAAAAAGACAAATATGGGGGCCGGTGCTGTGGCATAGCAAGTAAAGCCGCTGCCTGCAGTGCCGGCATCCCATATGGGGATTTGAGTCCCGGCTGCTCCACTTCCGATCTAGCTCTCTGCTGTGGCCTGGGAAAGCAGTAGAAGTCGGCCCAAGTCCTTGGGCCCCTGCACCCATGTAGGAAACTCAGGTGGAGCTCCTGGCTCCTGGCTTTGGGCTGACCAAGATGTGGGCATTGTGACCACTTGGGGAGTGAACCAGTGGATGGAGATACCCATCTCTCTGTTGCTTTGCCTTTCAAATACATAAATACATCTTTTTTAAAGACAAATATTCAATTAGATGAATTGTTATGATGAGGAGCATATCTGAAAGAGAAAAATACCTCCTGGTGGATTAGTAGCATCCATGTCAATGTCACAAACAGAGTGTGAGTGGAGGTGGGGACGAAGCTTCCCAAGGCAGGCAGCTAGTGCAAGCCTTAGCATAAAGTCTCATTAGATCATACATAAGATATACAAAGATAGCCCCAGTGGTTGTGTTTACCCGGAATGCAGAACTGTCCCCTTTGTTGAGGTCGGCTGAACTCAGCCAGAGAACAATGTTGCGGCTGCTGGCCGCCGCGTGCGAATGTGGTCATGCATCACAGGCTGCACCAGATGGCCGTGAGAACACCCGGCCTGCGCTGCCTGGGCCGGGACACAGAGCCAGAGCTGCCGCGGGCACTGCTGGGAAGTAGAGCCCTGCTCCTCTGTGCAGAGACGATGGCTGTCTTGGGACAGGGGGTCGGGGAGTGGCCCTGGCCCTTCTCCCCAACTTGAGTGCATGGGTGTCAAGGACTAATGACTGGGGGTGGGGTCTTCAAAAAGTTCATGGAAAAATACATAATATGGAAAAACTGTGCATGGATTTCAAAAGTTAGGGCAACCAAATAAACTTGTCTTTTGATCCGAGCCTCATATTTGCTACAATGGAGGAGCAGGCTACCCTACCCACTTCTCCAGCTGGTGCCCCACTGAGACCCACTCAGAGCAAAGGCTGCTGGGATGAGGGAGGCACCCCCGAGAGTCACCCACAGATCCATGCAGACACAGAGAAGTACCACAGGCTCACAGAGAGCAAGGGGACTAAGCTGGACTCTGAACTGCACAAGCAGGTGCACCACCAGCCGGGGGGAGGGGCAGGGAGGATGTCATCAAAGCTGGCCTAAGTTCACAGGGAGCCCTGAAAAGCTGCTCCCCACCAGCGTATCCCCACCCAGCGCTCCTGCTGCTATGGTCACTGTGTGGCTAAGTGTGGTGTCCTATCATGATGCCCATACACAGCAGGCCGCCTGCAGGGACGAGTCTAGAAAGTGTTGCTGGTAATGAGAGGCAGGGCCCTGAGAGCCTGGTGAATCGAGCCTGGAAGGGAAGCTAGGTGCGGGGACTGAATTCTGATGAATGGCAGGTGTCGGTTCATCCCGAGTCTAAGACCATGGACAGGGTCGAGGCATGTTTGCAGGTACTTTTATCAAACACCACGAAAGTCACATGTGCCTGAATCACTACAACCCTCTATTTCTGCCGAATAAAAATTCCAATTCACACTCTGACACCTGCCCTACTTCATCCCCCCCCCTTTTTTTTTATCTTTTAAAGCTTTGGTCTACCTGAGAGTTCGTTTCCCAGGAGCCATCTCCCTGGGCTTCTTGAGTTTCCAGGTTAGGAATTACCCAGCTAAGGGCTCTGCTGGGCTGGTTCCTGTCTTGGTGCAAAGACTCCAGCATGAGATAGGAAAGTGGTAGATGCAAGCAACACTGTCTGATAAAACATTCTGGTGGGGGGAGGGATGTTTTCTATCTGTGCTGTTCCGTTTGCCAGCTACTCACCCCATGGGGCAATCGAGCACGTGAAACATGACCAGTGTGACCAAGAAGCGGAAGTCTTAGATTTATTTCATAATTAATTTTAACAGACATAGCACAAGTGGCCGTGGCTATTGTATTGGATCACGCAGCTTTAGAAGGAAAGGCTATGGGGGTCTTTGGTCATCACACTTCAGCAGGTGCAGCATTAATCGTTGTACTTCTCTTTCCAAAGCCAATGCCACCAAGCCAGGCCCTGAAGACAGAGGACTTTGTCAAGGTCAAAGAAGGATG